CGGTCTGATGATGTTCGTCCTGTGACGGACGCCAGCTTAGCACCTTTTCACCGGAATCGAACGAGATCGCCTCGGAAACAGCGTCAGCATGAATCTGCCGATAAAGCCAATCGTCAACTGGTTGTCTTTTGGTGGAACCGATCTTCGAGTCTCTTCACGCAACACTTCCACTCGAAATGGAAGTAAAGTCAACAATTGTGAAATAAGAGATTCCTCGAAACCCCACTTTTCTTTGTACACAAAACAACTGCCAGCAAGAATTTTCTCTCCCGGCTGGACGTCTGTGTTTTTTTCAATACCTCTTCTTCTGGTCATACCTTCACTTGCTTCTTTCCGAGCATACACGAATCCAGGGGACTCTGTTGACGCCGGTGGACTTGGTTCATGCTACCGATAATACCATCGACAAAGGCCAGACCACTGGGAGCATAAGAGTAGCAATAAAGCCTATGCAGTCTTAAAGCATAAAACAATACAATAAAGACTCAATCAAGTTGGAAACGATTTGCAATTGCTGGCAGCTCAACATGGCTTACCAATAGCTTGGCCGCAGGAAACTTGGGCGGTTCTGCTTGAGGATGGGCTTTTGGTGGAGTCACTTGAGAGAAAAAGAGAAAAGTGGCAAAAAAGTTAACTGTCCTTTGATCAGAAAGAGAATATTGTACATTCTTTTGGGGGCATAAGTAGACCATGCATATGAATTGGGATCACCCTATTTCGTTAAGGTCATGAAGGACTAGCAGTTGCATTTGGCCCACAATGGCGTGAGCAGGCCTAACTTTCCAGTGAATTTCACACACTTTTTTTTCCCAAAAAGCATTCTCCTCCTGTTGAGCTTACCTCCATTTCGAGTGAAAGTGTGCGGTGAAGAGATTCGAAGGTCGCTTCCACCAAAAGACAACCAGTTGACGATTGGCTTTACTGGCAGATTCATGCTGACGCTGTTTCCGAGGCAATCTCCTTCGATTTCGGTGGAAAAGGGCTAAGCTTTCGTCCGTCACATGACGAACATCATCAGACCATCGAGGATAACATCGTCACAACCAAATTCAAGCCAACTAGTTCTGACGATGATACCTCGCAATGATGAAA